AAATATATAATAACTTAAATGAAAAAACATACATATATAAAAAATATATAAATTTGAAGCTTAAATTAATAAATATTTAATCTTTAAGTAACAGAATATATAGTGCATTAATTTAAAGAAATAASGAATAAATAAAAATTAAAGAATTAAATGAAAATTAACAATCAAATATATTCATATAAAGCGAAATAAAATTCATAATAAATCGCGCAAAAACGCACGCTTTGATTGTGATTTATGAGCTTAACAAAGCTGAATGTGAATATATATATGTATATATTTATATATATATTCATGTATATATTCATGTATTTTATATAGTATACGTTGCTTTATCTGTCTGTTAATAAAAGCCAATTGAAGGCAAGTGAAATTACGCATGCGCAAATTGAATTTGATGTCTTTCAATGCAAATTGAATTTTAACTGCCCCAAAACTACAACAACAACAACAACAACAACAATCAACTGAAACAGCAGCAACAATAACAACAAAGATGTGCCGCCTGCTGCTTAGGCATCTGCAGCCACTGCTGCTGCTGCTGCAGCTTGTCTTGCTGCTGCCACGCCCACACAGTTATGCGAACGCCTTTAACTATGCGCCACGCGCAAATGTTGTTATACGCGCGCCGCAGCACCTGAAATTCCAATTGCCACAAACGCGTAGCAGCTATTTTGGCTACACACTGGTGATACGCCCCACAAGGTGAGTGTCAGAAGAGAAAGACAAAGACGTCGACGGAGAGGGGGAAGCAGGGAGTGCCTGTGTGAAGCCCTGCGTTTGTGTGTTGTGCAACAAATGTCATATCTCGCCTGCAGAATGCAATGACTTCTGGTGTTGTACCGCCCTCTACGCCCTAGCTCACCACTGGCCACGCCCACTGTGCCCACCTCGATTGCATTTGAGCTCTTGCTGCTGTTGCTTGGCAACACCTTTGTCAATATTTCGCAGCTGCGGCTCGATTTTATGACAAATGCTTGAAATTATTTTTCAGCGCTTGTCCAAAATTGAGCAATCAAAGAAGCAACTTCAGCTCGGGGCAGACAGCTAACGAATCTACATAAGTAAATAAGTTCGAGTGTGGTGTGGTACTGCTAGATACTCTATAAGTGAGTAGACTTATTTAAGGGGCATAGTCATCCGTTATTCCTCTAATCTAAGTAAATCTACTTTTGAAAAGCTCTAGCTCTAGCTCTAGCTGATAATCCACGGTATGCTTTGATCCGAGAAGTTCTGAAATATTTCTATAAAGTATTTATAAAGTGAAACTTGATATATATTTAAGTATTCGATTGATCTTATCTTTCAAGTTTGTTGGCTTCAAATCTACACTAAAGGATTACATTGACTCGTAACGGATGTTTATCATTAGGCGAATTCACATATAAAAGGCAAGCCAGCCAATCGAACCGATACTTTGTAATACATTAAGGTATCCTAGATACGGTTATAGGGTGTTTATATTTATGGCCTGATAGCGCAACAATCTATCAGAGAGCCGGGTAGATATATTGACAAATAAATGGATGAACGGACAGCCCGATAAACAGGAAGTGTCTAGATAACAGTATCAGCTCTTATTTTTATGTGAGTTTTGCACAGACCTMAAGCCACGTTAAAAAATAAAATAAAATATAGAAAGCTTGCAAAACAAATAAAAACCCAGCGGCGTTTGTTGAGAAAATCGAGAGAAGAATGTAGAGAGAAGCTATAAAAGAGATATAAATATAGGGTATATAGAGTCGCATAATATATGTATACCGGAAGATAAACGCCTCGTGCTTGTTATGCACTAGCACAGCTTCATAGCCTATACTACCCTTATTTCACGGTCTTTACAGGGTATTATGTGCAGCATACTTCACACTCAGTAAACTTATTAGCTTCAATTAGCGCTTGTGTGTCTCTTTCTTGAACTGTTTTAGGCGTTTTTGGCATTTAGCACCATCGACTACCTTTATGTGGCACATAATTAAATGTTTGTTATTTGCCAGCGCCAAATAATGGCGATAGTTTCTGACAGACAAACGGACAGGCAGTCTGACAGTCTGACAGACAGCGCAACAAAACTCGTTCTCAGCCGTAAATTTTTCGACTTGGCAGCTGCATAAATAAAACCCAAAAACCGCCAAGAAACAAAATAGTTAAAAATAAATAACAAAAAAAAAAAAAAAATGCGCCACTTGAACAAAAGTGAAGTAAAACTAGAAAAACACTCAGCAAAACAGCATTCTCTTAAAATAACAAACTTCAACTACAATTGCCATCAATTCCAATTGCCACAGATCGCTGCTTCAAACTGGGATCCCAGATCTCGTATCTCGTATCTCGTATCTCTCGCAGCAATTGACAAACTCTCACTTCTGTGTTGCCGCGACCCACATACGTTATGAATACATGCATATGTACCTACCTCCATATATGTATTGTGCATATACTTCGTTGTACATAGACCTGATGGCTTGTACTTATGCTTAGAATACTGCTCCAAGCAATGACATCACAGCAACAGCAGCAACTAAAGCCGCAAATCAAATCAAATCAACCAAAAAGTTAAAAATAAAAATAAAAAAATCAGAGGCAGAAAAAATCAACAGTTAAATGTGGCAAGTCGTTAAGGAAATACTCTAGCTGAGTCATATAATATTGAATGATTAAGACAGTTGTATATAGACTGTGTGTTAAACTATAAAGACTGTATTGCCTATAAGTATTTTCTCTTTTTAGAAACAAAAAGTAAAATGAAAACTTTGGTTAGCTGTGCTACAGTATTCCTAGTACATATGCATAATAATATACCCGTATAGTACAGCAATATATCATTTATATATAATATTAAATTTACTTGAACCTTAATAAATGATTTTTATTCATAAAAAATCTGTTTACAATTGATGTGAAATACATGAATATGTAAATATTGCACACCATATAGCTTATATAACTAACGCAAAGCCTCATATTGTTGTCAGATAAGAATGAATGCAATGCGGCACATTTGAGTACACATTATCAAGTCGTGCTTTGTGGGAATGATTCATTGACGAAATAAATCATTTCAAGTAGTCGTGAAAGTTTTCGGATAGACGCTTTGATGGTATGGATTCCATATGCAATTGTTGTATATTGCACATGATATAATAGCAAACAAAAAGGTTCCGACTATGGATAAAGCTGAGCAATAAACTTTGGCATTGGATCATTGTCAGGGACCATTGTCTTACTCCTGATCGATGTTATTGTTATTAAAATTATTATCATTATCTGGTCAGTAACATTCTAAGTTAAAGGAAAGCTTCTGAGATCTATCACATATGAAGATCTTTTACTGCACTCTCGCAAGCTGATTCACGCACTTCATATGCCCCTCTCGCAGTGGAGGGCATAAGAAAAAGTCGCCAAATTTGGGCCACAGATTCAGATGACAAAGCATCAAATTTCGTACGGTTTTTATTTTTTGCATTTTTATTTTTCGGTTTATTTCGCGCGCGTTTTTTATAGTAATAATTTTTCTTTCTCGTATGTTTATGTATGTTTGTCTTGTTTTTTTTTTTTTTTTTTTGGACAATTGACAATGTTGTTTTTGTGCGCCTGTGTGTGTGTGTATGCGTGCGACTATGGGTAGTACGTGTTTATAACGAGTTTCGCATTTGAGTGTTGAGCGTATGCTAGTTGCTTTCTGGTGCTCTTCTGTTTTTAGTTGGATGGACACTTGTATAGCTAATTGGGATACTTCCTCTGCCGGTTACTGCCCACTTTTTATGACTCGCACTTTAAAACATCCCAATGCAATGGGCAACAAATTTTATTTTTCTCTAGTTACTGTAGTTTTTGTTGTTATTAGCCCCACCATTAGCTGAGAGTGCGCCTAATTATTTACGGAAATTACGCGTAAAATCACGACAACGTGTAATTTATTTCACATCAATTGAAGTTGCTGCAAACAGAAAGCCAACAGCCAAAAAAAGATTAGAACTATTTAAATTTAATGGGAACGAGAATACCCTATATGTAAACAGCTATTTGGAAGGGTCTAAAGTTCATTGAACTTAGGTAGTAACAAATGTTTAAAAGAGGAACTACAAATAAACAAATATACATATATAAATAAAATGATAAATAAAATCATCAAATTTATATGTATAGTGAGCCGATATGCATAGTCTTTGTGCTATATTTTTCTGTCAAGTAATCGCCAAGCAACTTTCTAGAAAGACCAATTCTCGATAACGATAAATTTGCCTATATTCCATGCATTTGTACCTTAGTTACTTATCGCTAGCATTGCCCTATTATTTCCCCATTGGAGTACTCTACCCTGGTTATAGAAGTGTAATCAACTCAAATAATTATGCAGATTAGAAGAAGCAATTATTAATTGTACTTGATTTTACTCTGGGGGCAAGTGAGCCCCATTTGGCGATTCGGTTTTCTTCATTTTCTGCAACAGATATGATTCATTTCCTATGAACGAATATCAAATGTGTAAAGTGACGAAGGCAAGCGAATTGCGCAACAAACAGAACATGGATACAAAATGCGGCGACAATTGCCGGCAGTGGCGTCTGCCTGCAACACCAGCAGCAACAATAACAACAGAAGCAACAACAACAACCACAGCTGCATATTACAATGCACAAAGTGCTGTCTGCTTGTAGCGGCGCCATTTTCATACGTCACGCGCGCCCCCGCGTCGCCAAAGAAAGAAAGAGAGAGAGAGAGAGATTGTGACAGGAGGCGAGGGAAAGAGATGTATGGATAGAGACTCTTCAACCCGCTGGAGTTAGCACCGCACAAAAAAATATTTTTAGCTGCTTTTCTCTTGGTCATTAAACCCGATTCAAACAACAACAGCAAATGCAGCAGCGGCTGCTTTTGTTCTTAAACAGTTTTTGACCGCAAGTTGTTGCTGCTGCTGCTGGCATTGTTGCTGTTGTTGTTGTTGTTGTTGTTGATGGAGATGCCAGCAATCACAGCGCGAAAGAAAGAAGATTTGTGTGGTCCACGATGTGGCTTAATCTTATTGTCCGTTAACATGCGCACGTACATCATTTCCAACAAAGCACCAGACGGCGACAAATACATACACACATGTACACAAAGGCACACACACACACACACGCATGTATAGCGGTGTTTGCACCCACTGGCGCCCTCTGCCAACTGCTTTGCTGCACTTCCAATAGGGCATACCATATAATATTCAAGATTTCATACACTCAGCAACACTTCAATAGAAACGAAAACAATATTTTTGCAATTCCTTTTGCTGCAGTTCCAACTGGAAATGCTTAAAAGACGAACACCCAGCAGCATTTAAATATATACAGTAGTCGAGTTCGTTGTCGACAGATCAGTGACGGATTTACACAAACAAATATTCTATATGCTAATATTTTACTCACTCGCAAATGTCAGCCTCAGCGCTCCTATATAAATGACTTGGAGTGTCTGTGGTTTGGATGCCTTCGTGTCTGTATGTTTATGTGCATAACTGTGTGACACATTACATGTGCTTTTGCGAGTGACTCATAATCTTTATTTCTCTTACTTTTTTGGGAAATACTCAAAAGTTTGTGTTGGGCGTAAAGACGGTCAGTTACAACTGTGAGTACTCTCACACACACACGCACACATACACAAAAAGGCACGCTCACGCAGTCGTACTCATTCATAGCTTTGTGCTTTTGTTTTGTTTGCCATGCTTGTCGCTTAAGTATCAACAAATATTTGTTGATTGTTTTTGCATATGTATGTAAAAGTCTTAACAGGTAGCTTACATACATATGCTGCTTAGTTGACAATTTAATGACCTTTGCACACACAAACATACATAAACCAAATCGAGTGTATTACATGGATGCACTGCTATAATATGATTCATCAGCCCCAACTCCATCTCAAGCTAGACTGACTAAGCACAAATCTGAGTTGTATTCTCTTTTATGATCCTATACGCATGCATATAATAATCTGCTTATCAGTGGCTATAAATAAAATTGAAGCTCTCTTAAAGTCGTTGTTAACTTTAAAGCTGGGCTATTCATAAAGCTTGATTAACCGGTTATTGTTAAAGTTTTCTCAATCTGTTTTGTTATCAGCTACGCAAAGCTATGCCATTTGCACGCACATACATAAGCATATGCATGTCCCTATGTGTTGTTGTTCCTGTGCTGTTGCTTCCAATGCACTTGGAAAAAACTTTTAATGCGGGAAGGCCATCCATACTTTGACTCTAGCCTTAAATGGAAGTATGAGAAAAGATAGTGAAAACACTTCCACTCTCATCGTCACGCTCAAAGCACGAGGCGCACAACGGTAAAGTGAGTAAGCCGGTCACGTTGTGAGTGCAAGAGCGGGCGAGCGTACGTATGAGTGAGAGCAAGTGAGAGCGGCTTCCAGCACAGAGCGCACGCTCAAAAAGCTACCTGCGACTGCGACTGCGACTGCGAACAGCTTTTCAGTTGGATTTAGACATTTGTTCGGGACAGTTGCGATCGGAGCAGCAATAGTTGCTATTCTGTGTGCATCGTCGGGCATTGTGCGTTGTGCCTTGTGCGTGTGTGTGAGTGTGTTTGTTGCTGGGTGGCAGTTGTGATAATATATTATCAGCCGTAGCATAAACCCGTTTAACATTTAAAGTTTCACATTTATTGATTGCATCAATTGCAACGCTTTTCGTTTGAAAGCCATGGCTTGGCAAGGTCGAGAGGTGGTGCTGGGGCTGTTGCTGGCCGCCGCCTGTTTCGCTGGCAGCGCTTGCGCCTACAACTTGTCGCCGCGCCCCAATAGGGAGATCAGAGATCCACAATTCGCCACGGCGATGCCGAAAGTGCGTGCGTCATATTTCGGTTTCAGCCTCAACCTGAGACCGCACGGGTAAGTGTTGTGTACCGTTTTCAAGATTCCAAAATTCGATTCAAAAACTCAAAGCTCTAGGCACGTCTTCTCACTCGCTCACTCGCACTCGCGCCCGTTAGAGCAAACAGGTTGGAGTTTGCCATGGATGATGAATCATCGGAATCGAAATTGATTCGGAGTGCGAGCGAGACGCCGAAGTGAGAGAAGTGATGAAGTGGGATGCTGTTCAGGGGGCGATCATAAAAGAAAAAAGTGAATGAACAAAATAAAGCACAACTTAATAAGTTGTACAAACGATGAAGTCATTTTTTATGCAGCTATCAATTGACAAGCGGAAAGGCCAGATAGTGTTCGCGAGTGGAGGGGGGGGGGGGAGGGGGTGGCCTGCGTAGGTGAGATTACGCTACACTTGGGGCAAAGTAGAGCGCTTCTTACGCAGAAATCTCTGCAGAGAAATATAAAATAAACCTGAATATAAATTGGTTGCACTGAACACCCTTAACAGCTTGTATATATCTACAAATATATATACATATATAGCTAGTATTAAATACACTTATTCACACATTTGTAGAAAAATTTAGAACAACATGTTAGGCATATTGTTTTCAGTGTATTTTCGTTGGGTTGATATCAAACACGAAAAGCTGAAGTTATGCAAATATTGAAGCATTCGGGCAGTGCACGTACGTTACTTCCCTTCCAAGCAGATATAGCTTGAGACACTTTTGTGTCTATGGGCATTACGTACACYTATGTATGTATGCATCATCGTATTCTATATAGTATAATGTTTCGAATGAGACATATTCAATTTGTGGCAATTGAATCTATTGTTTCTTTCACATTTTCTAGCTAAAAAAGTTTAGTCAATGCCGATCATTTGTTGTACTGCTGTTTATCAGCTTTTGCTTTTAGTCGAGTTTCTTTGATAAGATTAGGTAAAGGTGGCATATGCTATAAATGCACGTACATATATGTTTGTATAACTATATATAAATATTTTCATATGTAGATATGTATACATATATCTATCGTTATGGCATGCCAAGTCGAGCCAGATCAATTGCTTAAGCTGAATAAATGAACATACAATATTATTAAATGTAAAAGTTGGTTTAAGAAATTTAAAATTTATAACGTAGTTGATTAAAAATATAAAAGAATGTCAATATGTCTGAGTTTAAAAATCAAAATAAGTGAATATTTGGAATAAATATCAATTATTTTATTTAAAGAAATATTGTTAACTGAAATTCACAATTAACAATGATTTCAATCGTAATGAATAATTCCCTATTGTTGTTTATATTAATGTTTTATTATTTCCCTTGACTTCTTTGTTAGCTTCAAGCAGTTTCCATTGCTCTCACTCTCTCTCTCTCTCTCTCTCTCTCTCTCTCTCTCTCTCTCTCTTCCCCTCTCTATCAGGCTTTTTGCTATTTTTCTCGATTCGCCCTTCTTTTCGCTGCTCAGTCATAAATAGATCGATTCAAAAAGCTTGTCGATGCTTCAGATAATAAAGTATTTCCAAATAGAGTTTGCCTTGTGCGCAATTTTTGTTCTGAAATATTTCTTGTCGATAGTAGCCCCCGCAGCCTTAAGCACCGTTCCCCTAAAAACCCTATGTCCACTAACACACCCAATTTTATATTGCAAACGGAAAATAAGCTTTAGCGCTTGCTGCTGCCGCCCATGTTTATCAATATATATATATCTGAGCTATGCTGGCTGATAATGTCTTTATCTGATTGGTCACCGTCGCTGAGAACAGACTGAAAACTCATAGCCGCAATTTAGCTGGAAGCGAATGCGACTAATATCAATGAGCAATTGGCTAAAGTCAATTTTTATGATTGAAGGTTCATTGTCAACAGATTTGTAACTCTCTCGCTCTCTCTGTCTCTTTCTCGCTTGCAGTATTTTTGTGGGCGCACCGCAGGCTCAGTCGACGCTGGAGGCGCAGCGCAAGGTCAATGAGACGGGCGCCATATACAAGTGTTCGCTGCTGAACGGCACCTGCAGTCCATATGTGTTCGATGGCAACGGCAATCGGAACATCGAGAATACGGAATACACATGGGACTCGGAGCGCCGGGACTTTCAGTGGCTGGGCGGCTCCATGGACGGCGGCACTCGGGACGGGGACAAGCTGCTGGTGTGCGCGCCGAAATTCATAGCGCCCTCGTCGAAGGATTATCATATGCATGGCATATGCTACTGGGTGGCCGATACGCTCGCCGATCAGCCGCAGAATGTGACGAGGATCTCGCCGTTGCGCCTGAAGACGGAGCAGGTGAAGGAGGACAACGATCATCGATATTACTTCTATATCCTGGCGGAGGAGGGACTCAGTGCCCATGTGTCGGACGACGGCGAGCAGTTCCTGATCGGTGCCCCGGGCATCTTTACGTGGCGCGGCTCAGTCATCCGCTATCGCAAGGTCACCCAGGTGGACGATCCGTCAGCGAGTCGTCGTGACACGAGTAGTCAGAAGCGACGCAAGACACGCGACAGTGGCGACTACATCGACTATGCCCCGGAGGTGTACTACAAGACGGACATACCAAACCCAAAGAACTGGGGCCAGTCGGATGACTCATACTTCGGCTACTCAGTGGGCTCCGGCCACTTCGATAGCACCAAGCTGAAGCGCCTGCTCTACGTGGCCACGGCGCCGCAGGCCAACGAGCAGTCGGGCGAGGCGTATATCTTCGATATACACGGCTCGAATATCGAATTGTTTCACATCTTTCGCGGCGAGCAGTTCGGGGAGTACTTTGGCTATGCGGTGCTCGCCGAGGATCTCAACGGAGACAACCTAACGGATGTGGTCATCTCTGGCCCACAGCACGCGGTCGAAGACTCGCACGATAATGGTGCAATCTACGTGTTCGTGAACAAGGGACGGGTGAGTAATTCCGCAAATGCAGCTTTTGTTTCCTGATGACTAATCGCTGTGTATACATACATATGTGCATATGTACACCATACATGGATGTATTCCAGTTCAATTTCGAGATGAAGCAACTGCTCTGCCCGCCGCCTGTGACGGCCAAGGCACGTTTTGGCACCACGCTCACCCGACTGGGCGACATTAATCACGATGGCTATAACGGTAAGTGGGACATGGGTTAAACGAATACCTTGTGCACGCCTTGCTTCCCTCCCATGGCTCGGCTACTGTCTTTCCCCTCTCCTTGAAGGCGAATACAACAGAGAAATATTTTCGAAATATTTGCAATCTTTGAACAACAGTTCTTCAACTGGAACATGGCCTTGTTTTTGTTTGCTTAGCGTTGTTTTGCCCGAGCTACTATGCCATCCCATAGATAACTGTTATACATACAGTACTCAGCAAACGATCAGAAGCAGTTATAAGTGGCTAGATGTATTGTAACTAAACTGATATTCTATACATATACATATTATTCAGTTAGTATAATGTATTAATTTATACATTTTGTATATATTGTGTATAGTCGCAAGAGTTATTTCATGAGTTTAATCATCTGTCAATCAACCTCTTAAGTCAGCTTGCATTTATATGTAGTTTCGTTGTAATATGATTAATAATTAAGGGCAAGTGGAATTCCTTGGTAGAAACTTGTTTTATTTTTTCAAGATCAGATCAGACAGATTACTTCTAAAATTGAGTTCTATGTAAAAGCTGTTATATTATTATTATTATATTCACAGTCGACATATAGATAGATATATGGATCCACCTTAAATTCCTTCAATTTATCTATAATCTGTTTTTCCCCTACTTCGTAACTCTCTTTTTAATACCCCATTTCTGTTTCAGACATTGCTGTCGGTGCTCCATTTGCAGGCAATGGATCCGTCTTTATATACCTGGGCAGCGAGTCGGGCCTGCGGGATAAGCCCAGTCAGCGCCTGGACTCGCCCCAGCAGCAGCCCTCCAAGTATGGCCAGCACATGTTCGGGCATGGGCTTTCACGGGGCTCGGATATCGATGGGAATGGCTTCAACGACTTTGCTGTGGGTGCGCCGAACGCTGAGGCCGTCTTCCTCTATCGCGCCTATCCCGTGGTCAAGATCTTGGCCTCCGTGCGCTCACAGAATCGAGAGATAAAACCAGATCAGAACCGTGTCCAAATCACGGCCTGCTATGGACTCTCGACTACAGCGAAGGGCAGCTCTGCCCAGCAGCAGGAAATCGCCATGAAACTTGTGATTGATGCGCAGCTGAAGCGTGCCACCTTTACGCAGTCGCAGTCCAGTGAGCTGAGCTTCAATGCCACGGCGGGCACCACGCAACAGTGTCGGGTCTTCGACTGCGAGGTGCGCTACAGCGAAAAGGACATATTCCAGCCCATTGAGCTGGAGATGCACTATGAGCTGACGCAGAAGGTGCCAGACTCGGAGGGTAAGTTGACAGATTAAAGCGTGTCATCAGTGGCCTAACACTCACTTCTTGGTCTTCCCTTTCAGTATTCTGTGACACCTGTGTGGCTGTGGATCCAGATGATCCAAAGGTCTACTCGGAGAAAATCATCTTCAGCACGGGCTGTGCCACAGACGTTTGCATAGCCGATCTAAAGCTGACTGCCAAGGACTTCAGGTAAGCCAGAGCAACGCTTGTAGAACAGTTTGTATAACAGCTTTCTCTATTCCAACAGTCCGAGCTATATTCTGGGCAGTGGCAAAACCCTCCGCATCAACTATGAGGTGACCAACAATGGAGAGACGGCCTATTTGCCACAGCTGAATGTGACGAGCTCGAGTCGCTTGAACTTCGCTCAGATTCCTGGCAACTGCAAGGTCAGTGATGCGGTCATGGTCTGTGACTTGAATCAAGGCAGACCTTTGGGCAAGGGCGACAAGAGTAGCATTACCATTAGCTTCGATGTGAGCAGCCTGACCGGCAAAGCGCTGACCATCAGCGCCGAGGTCTTCAGCACTGGCCACGAGCAGAACCCCAGTGACAATAAGCTGGTTAGTCTGATTGCCCTTAAGGAGTACACGGAAATCGATGCATCGGGGTAAGGCTCAGGCAACTATTTCTTAACTGAACTGAATCTTAACTAATCTCCTCTTCTATCGCCTTCGTAGGGGTCAGACCAATGAGGCCATCAATCTGGAGCACTATAAGAACTCGGCTGTGATTGTCAACAACTATGAGATCAAGAGTAATGGCCCCAGCAATGTGGACGCCCTGGAGCTAGTCTTCCATATTCCAGTTGCCTATAAGCTAGCCACTTCCACCATACCCATTATCAATGTGGGCAACATAACCATGCAGGCTACGTACGACGCGCAGCTGGTCGCCATCGAGCTGCTCGACCCGAACAACACGCAGATTATTATGAATCCCATTGAGATCTCAACGACGCGCACGAGCAAGCACACAGAGCGCGTCGTCGTTAGTCAGAATGGAGCTCAGTACGATATCAGCAGCAGTGGTCACACAGAGCAGAGCTGGCAGGAGTTGGATTCGGATTCAGTGGCCACTGCATCCATGACGCGCAAGCGACGTGACCTGAAGGCCTTGACAGCCAACCGCGAGCAATATGCACGCATTTCGAACGTCAAGGCGCATGAGCTGCTCAGCGAGGACTTCAAAGGCAAGTTGCCAATGAATCGCACCATTGTCTTCAATTGTCGGGATCCGGAGATAACCGTTTGCCTGCGCGCTGTTATGCGTGTCTACAACTTCAAGCCAGAGAAGCCGATCAATTTGAATATGCGCTACAGCGTCGATCTGAATGAGGTGAATGCGATTCTCATCGATCCCTTGGAGTTCTTTGCCATCCTCATCGATTTGAGCGTGCGCAAAGAGGGCGATCCCACGGGCAGCTCACTTTTAATTAGACGCAAAATCGAACCGAATGTCATATCTAAGCATCTGGTAACGAAGTCCCTCATCTGGATAATAATTCTCTCGGTACTAGGCGGCCTGGTGATTCTGGCTGCCTTTACCTATGGCATGTACAAGGTAGAGTAGCTAAAAGAAACCAACTCCAGATGGCATCATATAATAAACTCTTACTCTTACTTTTCGCAGCTTGGTTTCTTTAATCGCAAAAAGCATGAGTTCGACAAGCTGACGCAACAGGGCGCCGTGGAGCCCGAGGAGGAGAACCTTAACAGTGGCAATAATTAAGCTCAACATATTGTGATCCATATTGCTAAGCTATAGACAAGTACATCACATCACGATAAAAGCTAAGTAGCATCAATACCAGCTGAACAGTTGGGAAATACCAAAAAGGAAAAGAAAAGTGTTAAGGATAAAAGAACAGGACTGTTCTAGATCAAGTCATTTATAGAGGAGTGTTGAAGATGGGTATCAATATTTATATATCTATGCATAGATATCGTATCTATATAACTAAAACCTAGTGCAAGTTGTAAGCCGCGAAGCATTGAATGTTATTGTGGATATTGTTGGAATTTTTGGAAAGTTAGTTATTTATATAGAGCTGAGCTTGAGGCGCCGAAAAGTCAAGCCATATTGCCATTATTTGTAAATATTTATAAAATATTACTAAAGTAAAAAATATAACTGTTTAGCTTTAAGTTTCGATGGCAACGTAAAAGACTTACAAATTTTGTATACAATATAAATTAAAGAAAACAAGAAAAACGAGACCCGAAAGAGAAGCGAAGAAAAATAGTTTTATCGCAATAGTTGATCCTAGTTAAAATATAAGTGAGTAAAGTATTAAATAATTGTTTTGCTTTAAGTTAAACAATTGACGAGTTCTGAAGCTTGATTTGTTTTTACAATACGCTAGAAACTTAAGTTAAATAATTAAATTCATTTTAAATAAAAAACTTTTTTAAAAACTGTCCGAGATATGACTAAAAGAAATGAAAATATGCTTTAAATATACATATATTACATATTTGACATAAATATATGGGACTATTTAAATATAACGACAATTAAAATATCGTAACATTCAGCTATTTGTCGTACGTACACTGCTTTATCTGCGAAATAAGCAAGCAGTGCACTCTATTCGTATTGCAAAAGTATTGCATACTTTTGGGCGGTGTTATTAATGATGATTTTTAAATAGCTGCAGCTTGATTTGATCCGCAGGACGAAAGGACATGCTACATTCGATTAAGCCATTTTTTATGACTCGAAATTTGTGCCTAATAGGTACTAATTTGGTTTATCTGTGCGCAGACGTTCCTGGCCAATTTTAGCTGAAATCAAGAAATTAGTCAATTTTAACCGACTGCCCTATAGGGTATGCAACGAATTTTGGTTTTTGCGTATTTTAGCCGATTTAGTTTTTTTGCTATAACTCGGTCAAATCCTGTCGCAGGATAACAAAGTAGGTTGCGTTAGGATCGTGGGGACCGTCGCCATCGATCCACATCAAAATAATATTGGGTCATCTAAGCATCCAGGACTTGTACGTTTCCCATGACGTGACGACTGCTGCGGCCAAGCAAACTGCCCAAAACACACAAAATACCTGGTAACTCGGAAACCACAAGGACAATTTGGATGTCCTCTGACCAGTTGATAGTTCTGGTGACCCCAATCAATTTGACAAAGGACTTTCCAGGATACTCCAGGATTAGAGCGAGAAATAGCAGTTTATAGTACAGAAAAGAAATCCTTATAACTCAGATAATTGAAGGATTTTCGTCCTTTTTATTTTTTATTATTCATTTGCAGACTAAGGACTTTCTATGATATAAACACCATTACAGTTGTCATTCAAATGGCCAATTTAATGGCGATTTTTGTAATTTTTGACCATTTTTCGACCATTTGCCTTGCAAAATATGGAGGAAAATTTTTGGTGGAATCCTAGAAATCCTTGAATGCCAATCGATACTTATGACTGTCATGACCTGAAAACGGAATATCCTCTGAAAATCAATAAGAATATGGTGGAGTTATGGCTAGAGCAAGAATGTCCTTTTCTTTTAAAAAAGCTAAATCTTGGCCAATTCTTTAAATATTTTCACAGGACTTGGTGCAATACAATCGTGAAGATCAACACTATCGATCCATATCAAAGTATAAGAAAGCAGGTCTAGTTTGGCTATGATATTATAAGATTTAAATAGAAGGATATCGTTGCTGCTGCGGGTAGCTGTAAATAGAATAAATTGACAAAAATAACCGTGACTATATAGATATATAGTTAAATTTAATTCTCTTAAAATCAATAAGTACATTGTTTTCTGTTTTTTTCTTTTCTTTTGTAAACTCTATTCAAATGCAATAATTTTTATAAACTAATTATGACAAACGCATTTAACACGAAGCAAAACGTTAACATGTTTTTTTGTTGAAAAAATATCTATATATCTATATATGTATATACAAATTGTTTTCTGGCTACAATTTATGTTTAGCTAAGACATACACACACATATTCACATACATAAATAAAGTAAAATGGACTAACTAACTATATAATACACAGACACACATATATAAATTTCATGTAGAATTTGCAAGACATAACAGTACAGATATATAGATATATAGGCAATGCATAAGTACAACAAGTTGCTATAAGTTTTCTTCTTTGATAAGTTTCGTAGATTGGTTGGTAGTTTGGATATGTGAAATTGCAGGTGACTTTTCATATGTTTATGGAACTAGAGCTAAACATACTTTTTAGTAACAATAGTTTGTTTTCTTTTTAGTTAAATAACAGTTAGATCGAGTATATCAACAGATAAAACCGGATATACATATATAATATGCGTTTGAGTTGTATGTGAAATGCATGCATTTTGATTTTCTATTCAAATTCTCACTGCTCTATCGTATTTCGTTTGTACATTTAATTAACAACAATAAAAACTGCCAACTGTGTAAATAAATACATTTTATATAAAAATACAGACAATCTGTGTGCTATGTATTGTCAAATCATTGAAATTTGCTTCTGCATTCCATCTGTGCGAATGTGAGTTTTATATCTGTATATATATATATATGTTTGATATGCGGTCTATCTATCAGATGTACATATATATAATATGTATTACTCTTTCAATTTTTGATGGTTGACTAGCAACGCTTATTGAGCACAAGGTGGATTCAATTACTAACAGATATATAGATTTAGATACTTTTAAATACACAGATACAGATGCTTTGCTTATAGATAGATGGATACATAGATATATATACAGTTAGTTAACACATTTTCTCGTTATATGGCGAATCCATGTTGGGACTTTTCAATCTACTTCAGGACTCAATCACTAACAGATTCAGTTGCTCTAACAGACAGATACAGATGCTTTTGCTCTATAGCAGCTTATAGACAGATATAGGGTATATCTATATACACAGTTAGTTAACACATGGTTTCGTTATATGGCGGATCCTTTTCTGACTCTGTGCTGCTCTTGATGTTGGAGGAGAGCTTTGCTATCTCATCCTGCACCAGATGCGTGCTGATCTGCGGTATGGCCAGATTTGTGCTGCTGCTCTTGGCCGACGAGGAGGTCGTTGCCGAGATGGGCTCGCCGTCCCGCGACTCTTCGGTGCTGGAGCTACTCTCCTTCAGCACATTCATGCCCAGCTTGCTTGTATAGGGTGGCTTCAGCGTTGAAATCAGTTTGGCAGCAACCGGAGCACCTGCAGCACCTGCAGCACCTGCCGCGGCACCTGCAGCAGCGCCAGCGGCAGCCGCAGCCTCTGTGCTGCTCGCCTCGGCGCTTGTTTGCGCAGACAGTGGCTTGCCCTGGTCCATACTAAACTGTTTCTTCAACTGCATGGGACGCGTTGGCAATGCTGGCGCTGCCTGCGTCAGATCTAGCGAACTGGAACTGTCGTCCCTTAGACGTCTGCCATCGGCAGCGCCCACGGACGCCGTCCGTTTGGGTTGATAACGCGCCTGCGCAGCGCCGCCAGCAGCGCCAACGCTCACGCTAATGCCCGTTGCCGAATGCGAGTCGCCGGCATCCAAACTGGGCTCCGCCGTCAGCGAGGGCGTGTCCACGTTGTAGGAGCCGGTCAAGGAGGTGTTCGTCTCATTGGAGCTCTGCTTGATGAAGCGGTACGGATGCGCCGAGTAGTCCGTGTCCGTGCTTGAATTCTTCTGCAGACTCTCGCTGGACTTCTTGAACAGCCGCCCGCTGCTGTCGTAGGGTGGATTGAGGAAGTCGCTGGTGGCACGTGTCGGCACCAGCGGCGACTGATAGCTCTGCTGTTCCATGGACGAATTGCGTTGCCAGGGCCGTTCGTGCTTCAGCTGAAAGCCGCTGCTCGCCGCACCGCTCGTATCGCTGCTGTCGCCAGCAATGACGGCGCCAATGGCACCGCCCTCCGCCGCTGGCTTCGAGGGCGACAGCTCAATGGCCGTCTCCCTGCGCAGCGGGTAGCGATGACTATAGTCCACAGAGACGCCAATCTGAGAAGATGAGAGAGAGAGAGAGAGAGAGAGAGAAGAATTTGAGTGTGTATAAAAAGAGAGGGGGAATCAGGGAGAACCTACCTCATAGGAGGGCACGCTGGCATCGATGGAGCCACGTGCCTCAAAGAGGCCCTCCAATATCCTGTAATCATTCTCCTCGCACTCCTTCAAGTGTTGCTTCTCCTGCAACGCAGCTGCCTCGGCGCGTGACATCTCCGTCTTGGGCCGATCCAAGGAAGCTGTGAAACACACAAAGATTCAATGAGAAAAGATTCCAACTGGAAGCTGAGGCAGGTGCAGGCGCAGGCGCAGTCGCAGGCTGAGGTATTGCGTGGGATTTATTTTCTTTTTATTTATTTTGATATTTTTTGTGGGGATTTTGGCTGGCAAGCACAAGGCAAATGAATATTACGCATACGCCCGGTTAGCAAGTAAACATATTACACAATTTTGTAGGTTTGAGGTGCTTTTGTTTTTCATTTTCAATTTGCTTTTAGTGTGGGCCAATCGGATAGGGGATTTTGGATGGAGATCGGAAGTCGGAGTTCGGTGATCGGAGATCGGAGCAACGCCAACTTACCTTTGTTGCTCTGCAGCGAGACGGTCGGTGAGGCAATCAAATGGCAAACGCTCTCCAGCTCGTCCGTTATGGATGTATATTCACTGTGCAGTTTCAGCAATATATTTCTGGAGGGTTTCGCATGCAATACTGATTTACCTAGAGTTCGAGGTTAGGTTTTTTTTTGTTGAGAATGCGTCAGAGATCAAATTACGTGTGTGTGTGTTGGTGTTTATGTACGCGTATGTATGGATGTGT